GGTGCCACGATTTTTTCGAAAATCGATCTTGTTCGGGCGTACTACCACATTCCAGTGGCCCCAGAAGATATACCAAAAACGGCTGTAATCGCTGCATTTAGTTTATTTGAGTTTCTACGAATGCCATTTGGACTAACTAATGCAGCTCAAACCTTTCAGCGATTTATCGATCAGATTGTTAGGGGTTTGACAGGAGTATACGCATATATCGACGATATATTAGTAGCTAGCGCTACCGTGGAAGAACATCTACAACATCTACGACAGTTATTCACGAGACTTCAAGAACATGGCGTCACTATTAACGTGGAGAAATGTGAATTTGGAAAGAAATCATTGCAATTCCTGGGGCATATGATAAATGCTCGAGGTATTATGCCAGTCCCGGCAGAAGTTGCTGCTATTCGTAATTATCCGTTGCCCGAGTCACAAAAAAAGTTACGACGATTCTTGGGACTAATAAACTATTATAGGCGATTTATTCCAAACTACGCAGCAATACTACAGCCATTAATGGACGCTTTGCGATGAAATACCCGAACATTCCATCTATCGACAGAGGCTATACAGGCTTTTGAGAACGCTAAGCGAGCACTTCATGAGAAAATGATATTAGTACGATGAAAGAGTGAAGCGCCACTAGCCATCATGACAGACGCATCGAACATAGCAGTAGGAACCGTACTGCAGCAGTTAGTAAACGGTACATGGGAACCAATTTCATTTTTCTCGAAGAGATTTAATCCTACACAAACGAGGTACAGTACGTTCGGAAGAGAACTATTAGCGATTTACATGGCAATCAAGCATTTCCGACATATGATAGAGGGTACCATTTTCACAGTGTATACAGACCATAAACCCCTCACGAAAGCATTAAACGCCAAGCAGGATAACTATTCGCCGAGGGAAATTCGACAATTAGAATTTATTTCCCAATTTACATCTAGCATACAGTATATTAAAAGCAATAATAACGAAGTGGCAGATGCGTTGTCCAGAACAACGATAAACGCAATCATTACAAATGGAATTGATTATCACGGTTTCACGAAGTTACAAGAGAAAGACATCGAACTAAACAAGCTAAGATTCGAAGACACAACGTCATTATCATTCGAAGATGTGCAGTTCGGCAACGCAAAAGTAATATGTGACATGTCGACAGGCCGACCTCGCCCGTTCATTCATAAACCATTGCGACGGAAAGTATTCGAAAGTATCCATAACCTATCGCACCCAGGGATAAAAGCCACGATGAAATTAATCAGTGAGCGTTTCGTATGGACGAAAATGAATCGCGATGTACTTAATTGGACACAAACATACATGAAATGTCAAAAAGTCAAAGTACATCGTCATATTAGCTCGCCAATGGGTTCATTTTCACAGTCAGACACTCGATTTGAGCACATACACATCGATATTGTGTGACCACTGCCAGTTTCGAACGGGTACAACTATATTTTTACATGCATCGATAGATTTATCCGATGGCCTGTAGCGGTACCAATAAAAGACACCTCAGCCGAGTCTGTAGCCAATGATCTTATCGAAAATTGGATTTCTTACTATGGTATACCGGCGATTATCACAACCGATAGAGGAGCTCAATTCAAAAGTCGACTTTTCCAGTAGCTTACAGAACTCCTCGGAATCAAACGTATTCGAACGACATCCTACCATCCAATGTCAAACGGAATGATTGAACGCCCACATAAGCAGTTGAAAGCATCCCTTACATCTGTCAATGTCAATAACGACTGGGCTAATAGAAACTAATTTCATCTTGATGAATTTCAATGTTCAAGTTGAATGAATGAAATTTGATGGTATTCTGACAAAAAAATTACCTTTAATAGTATTTTTGTTCATAGATTATTTATGTACACAGAATGATGTGTACAAGTAATTTCTTGCCTAACAAATACATACTTATTTCAAATATAATGTAATATTCTAACAACTAATTTGTAAATGGATACTAAAACAATACAACAGATACTGTTGACACAGGACAACATTACATAGCTTAGATAAATAAACATATAGATAGAAAAAGTGAGAACAGTATAGTCTACATAACAAACTGATATTGTCAACAACAATCATAAAAATTCATGGATCATTGAATAGCACTATGGCTCTAGTGTATGAGTTCGCAGTAATGAATATCCAATAATCCTGACAAAAGATAAACCAAAAACTGTCGAATCTCACAACTAATACATTACTTTTAAATTAGAAAGTTGACATTCAGTCGGGAGATTAGAAAATTACTCAGATCATTAATTGATCTAAGACAGACAAATATTAGAAACCTGGAAGCACTTGACAGGCTTTTATATCTCAGTATGAGACTCCTCAGAAGTGTACACTTATGAACCTCTACCTGGGATCTAAAGCACCGTATTCAGCATCGTGGTACCTTACTTCTAAACTATTGATCCGAGATCAGGTGTAAAAAGTCTACTTTGAATCAGTCCCCGAAACTGCGTAAACATACTTCATTTTCTTCGTTGAGTACCTTCCTCATACCTAACAGTGTTGATCTTCATAGGTCATCACTTTTGGCAGGTTTTGATTTGATTTTTGTTGAGGTACAAAAGCTATTACTTGTTGTGTATTATAAGTTAGTCTGTGTTGCTAGGTCGGATTCAATTTCATGTTACGTGCATCTCTTATCTCTTTTATTTTCAATGCGACCCATACAAATCACAGGACAAATAGAAGTTTTAGCCATTCAGAGATTGTGATATTTGTACACATTTTGTTAATACTAGAGCAAAATGTCAAATAAAGTAGTATCATCAGGGACATTGTTGATAATACTTTGATCAGATATGAATTAGTTTATTGCCACTTAATATTCAGTATTAGCATTTAAATTTCGTGGTCAATTTTAATGTACACGCTGATTTAGGCTATAACAAAGAACTAGAACGATTAACAAACAAGTACACCAAACCTACTGAGCTACTATCACACCAAGCCACAGGACTAGACGAAAAACAAAAGCAACTAACGCGATGTTCCAAAAGGTTAGTATTTGTAATGTTATGCAAACATCCACTAATGACGGTTAGTGGTCTTAGTCTATTAGGGATTGAAACAGACAGACTCATCGTTGATGTGGGTCATTTTCTAAATTCAAATGCGTCATTTCATGACTTACAAACAAATAAACAATAACTACTCTTTGAAGCTGTGACATTAACTCACTTACTTAATTTTATATATAAAGTTTTTGCTTTACAAAGTTATCATTTATTAATTGAACTTAATTCTTTTTTAATGATTTGACATTAATTTACAAGCGTCTTACAAATAATAAATTATCGTCATTTTCATTGTACCAACATAGATTAATATTCTTTAACTGAAAAACGTCTAATGATAATGCCTGACTTTGTAATGTTCTTTAATGTCTTTAAGTTAAAACTGTGAATAGTAAATTTGAATTTTTCATTTTCGCGTTAAAAGCGCCCATTTTTAGCTTCAGATTGTATTTCCAACTTGGAAGGACCTTAAATGTCATTGGTTCGTTCCCTCTTTTAATACGCTATTTTTTGACGTTTCCCAAGAATATTTTTATTCTGTGTATATGCGCTTCAGTTGAGTGGTTGTTGGTCCGCGATATTTAGCGCTTAATCGATGGAAGTAAACAACATACGTATCCGTGATATATCTATAGAAATTTGAACATTTGGAAATATAGGGAAAATCAGAGACCCAACTGAATAATAAATACTGTAAATCTTGATGTCTCAATAAATTCTACAAATTTTAGACAACCAGGTAACAACTTTTCTTTGAATCGGATGCATAGCTCGTTTCACAAATCATTGAATAACGTAAAAAATATAAATTTTTTAGTGAGTATAACTTTGTTGTTTTGTATTTAATTATCGAGGTATATTTGAGATGGCAAATATATCAATTAAATACAAATAGTTGACAATATATCTCACATTTCAGTCTTATATTATTCAAGTTGTATATTTATAGATATAACGATCATAGAATATAATTCTTGGAATTAAAGCTAAACATATCCGACGAAACCTCTGAGGTATTAGGTGACTAGATTTTTGCATTATCAGTTGGTTGGTTGGTTGATAATGTTATATACGAAATTTTAAAACAAGAAGAAAAATCTACTGTGAATGGCTAAAACTTCTATTTGTCCTGTGATTTGTATGGGTCGCATTGAAAATAAAAGAGATAAGAGATGCACGTAACATGAAATTGAATCCGACCTAGCAACACAGACTAACTTATAATACACAACAAGTAATAGCTTTTGTACCTCAACAAAAATCAAATCAAAACCTGCCAAAAGTGATGACCTATGAAGATCAACACTGTTAGGTATGAGGAAGGTACTCAACGAAGAAAATGAAGTATGTTTACGCAGTTTCGGGGACTGATTCAAAGTAGACTTTTTACACCTGATCTCGGATCAATAGTTTAGAAGTAAGGTACCACGATGCTGAATACGGTGCTTTAGATCCCAGGTAGAGGTTCATAAGTGTACACTTCTGAGGAGTCTCATACTGAGATATAAAAGCCTGTCAAGTGCTTCCAGGTTTCTAATATTTGTCTGTCTTAGATCAATTAATGATCTGAGTAAATTTCTAATCTCCCGACTGAATGTCAACTTTCTAATTTAAAAGTAATGTATTAGTTGTGAGATTCGACAGTTTTTGGTTTATCTTTTGTCAGGATTATTGGATATTCATTACTGCGAACTCATACACTAGAGCCATAGTGCTATTCAATGATCCATGAATTTTTATGATTGTTGTTGACAATATCAGTTTGTTATGTAGACTATACTGTTCTCACTTTTTCTATCTACATGTTTATTTATCTAAGCTATGTAATGTTGTCCTGTGTCAACAGTATCTGTTGTATTGTTTTAGTATCCATTTACAAATTAGTTGTTAGAATATTACATTATATTTGAAATAAGTATGTATTTGTTAGGCAAGAAATTACTTGTACACATCATTCTGTGTACATAAATAATCTATGAACAAAAATACTATTAAAGGTAATTTTTTTTGTCAGAATACCATCAAATTTCATTCATTCAACTTGAACATTGAAATTCATCAAGATGAAATTAGTTTCTATTAGTATAATTGGAATCTTCAGTTTGCTTATTTCACAAGGTGAGTATGAATTGAAAGAATGAATAATTTATTGTATCGTATACTTCTGAAGAAATCATAGTACATTGAATTTATCAAACTATTTTTTTTCTATTTTATAATATGTAAGCTTTCATAAAATGATGAATTTTTATAGTATTTTTGCTTAGAGATTTGATAGTCACATGCACCACATGCAATGAGGGGTTGATCAATCAGGCTACAGATTTTCAGCTACAGTTTAAAACTCAGAATATCTTGCGACTTTAATTTTTGTTTGACTTCTATTTGTTGGAACTGTAGGGATAGTGAAATTTGACTGAGCCCTAGCCAAACTATCCGGCAGTTGGGTCATTGAATATCGAGCAGTCTATCCATCCCTATAAAGTCAAGGACAACCAACGCGCATCCGTTAATTATATGACATGAACTGGCCCATGCGGTGGTAGTTTCATTAATTTCTCTATTCACATTCTTACTGATATATATATATTCTTTTATAAGCTTGTAATAACAACTATACACTCTAAAAAGTAGTGTAGTGAACGAGAATACAAGTGGGAACAATCGAATGTACTGGAACATAAAATTACAGAATCTTAGTAAAATCTCAGAACTATACAGTAAATACTTAATTTGCAAAACGACAATTAGTTGTCTCAGAGTTTATTGTTCTTTTGTTTCCATACCATTCATTTTTTGTTCTCATTTTTTTTTCTTTGATCTTCTTAACCTTCTGCTGACAGATATCTCACTTTCGACCGATGACACATACTACTTATATCTATCGAGATCAGTAGCACACATTACACTAGGAAAAACAAGTCTGATATCAGCAACTAAGATTGTTTTATTTTTTTCTGATAAAACAAATTTAACCCAATAATGTAGATAATAGTACCTATTCTATTTTATTGATTTCTTTATTAGAGCAGTTTTTTAAATTCAAATCCTTCGAAAGAGTATAATATTATAATCTGTTTATGAATAAACGACAACACTTTGATAAGGGGATATAATTAAGGTTCCGTATTTTTGAAGGTCCAATACTACTCTGTTTACAACAAAATTGTCAAATTGATCTATACGTTGATTATAATTGCTGTGCGATACTTGTTGTTAATAGAATGAACTTTAATATTCAGTTGAAATAACTAGGAACTAGTTTTAATTTCTTTAGTGCAGCTAAACCTGTGGACTTATTAAATGTTATGAATGCATAAACGACCATAAGTGCTTTCTTTCAAATACGTTATTTTGTCAGTCGGAAATTCGTTAACTGATTGGATAGAAGTGTCTGACTATTCTTCACATTTGCATTTTCAAGTAAACAGTTTAATGTATTAGTTACAAAACTTCTTTGATAAATTAGTTTTGTTTGTAAAATTTTATCAAAAATTCATAAAACGATTTGGGTACTCTTCACCATTTGTTAATGAAATTTAAAGTTAAAAAGATTTTATCCAATTTTATTATGTTGACCACAAAATTTTCTACCTGTGATTACGAATTATTGAAGATCTATCATTTCTAAACTTAATCTTCTTTATAGAACTAGTTGAAATATTGTAATTCTAAGTAGCAGTTGCCCCCAGATGCCCTGGTACGGCCGAGAGTATGCAGAGTCCGCTCTCTCTCTCCAAATGCTCTCACATGACCACGCGTATACAGCCTCTACCAGGGAAGTCCTACTCACTGCCTTCTCGTGGCGGGGGTGTTGTTTACGAAATTGAAAGGACGAAAAGCGAATGTCCGGCGCTTTAACCGGGTTGGTGGACACGGAGGGTCCACCTAAGGGAGTTGGAAAACCCTGATTACAAACCAATGATGCACATGGGCGCCAGTATCCTGAGGGAACAAATGACATATGAACCAATCGTTGGTCACCGTCTACAGTGTGACTGCATCTCCTCACGATGCTACACTGCCTTGTGAGTCAGACCTTTAGGTCAAAGGCTCCGGGTGTGGCCCCCTAAGGAAACCACCTGTTTCAGTTTGAGCACCTGGGCAGTATCATAGCCCTCACACAAATCGAATGAGATTTGTGTGGCGCATACGTATCTGGTGCTTTCTTGTACCAATATTTATGTGTTTAAATAAATAAACAGTTCCAAGGATTCATAGCCATTTTATGTGGTACATTAAGAGTAAGAAATTAAAAAAAAGCAACAACTGACTTTTAACATTGTCGATTTCATTTAGAATATGGTTATTTGATTGATATGTGAGTTTATTCCCATGTTCGTTTTTTTGTTTGGGTGACTTCCATATCTCTTATTTTGATAGTACCCATCTCATTATGTAATGTAGTTCCCGAAATCATTTAGCTTTTTAATGATTATCAAACTGCTGTAAAATAAAATATGAAGGATGATCTTTTAATTTTCGATTCATTTTTAAAAAAATATCCCATACAGAATGATCCATTCACATTTTCCAAGAGATCATCAATATGAACTTCATACAATTTGGTTTTGATTTTCATAAACTACCATTAAGGTTTTACATTAAGAGTCTATTAATATTTAGAATAACTGAGAGTTTAATAACATAGTTTTGTAGCTTAATACATCGATAATAGTAACATATAAATCAATATATAAAAGGATTTCTGATTAATCACACTTTAAAGAGACTATATAATAGATTAAAACACTAATCCAGGACTATATGAAAGTAGTTTCTGTGTGATTGATGATTATTTTAGTTCATATGTAGCATAAAGTTTTGGATGATGAGGTAAACTGATGTCTCTAATGAAACATGAGCTTCCATATATATGTATATATATATATATATATATATATATATATATATATATATATTGATGAAAATTTATTTCAGAAGGAGTTTTGTGGAGATTTCAGTATTTTCATAGTTGAAATCATGAGTCAATTGAAGCTAGATCACCATCGAAAGCCTGGAAGCACTGAACGGTCGTTTTGTACTATTATGGGACTCCTCAGCAGTGCGCATCCACGATTGTTTGAAGTTAGACATTAACACCATCGGATGCCGGCTCAGTGGTCTATCGGTCAAGTGCCTTGGCGCGAGACTGTTAGGTCTTGGTTTCGAGTCTTGCGGGTGAGAGATCGTGGATGCGCACTACTGAGGAGTCCCATAATAGGACGAAACGACCGTTCAGTGCTTCCAGGATTTCGATGGTGATCTAGCTTCAATTGACTCATGATTTCAAGTATGAAAATTTATTTCTCAACGTATTATCTTTCGATTTGTCAGCTTAAATTACACATTTCAAAAATATTTTTCTTATTAAAATTCATAGTTTTACTTAGTATTTAAAGGTTGATTGATATTGTTTTTAAAGATAATCATAAATTATTTTAACTTATGAATGTTTAAAAAACATATAAACAGTCCAAATCAAAAACAGTGAGTGTTGTTATAGTATCTCCATATATTTAATTCATCTTTGAATTATTAAAAATATTTTCTGTGCTATGGCTTATCAATAAATGTCATCACGTTTTGTCCCTCTACATTAGGGACTTTAAATCCATATATTGTTTGGTAAATCGGTTTGGGCAGATAACTAGGTGAGGTGACTTGAGTTGATGTAGACATTGAATTAGACAGTATAATATAATATTGTAGACATGATAATAACTTATTGTTAAAGTGGGAAATACTACTGAACATATTCAACAGTTACCAGATAAGATGGTGGTTGGAGGTGGTCAACAGGAAACTTTGGACTCGGGTTTCTTGCTACTTGGCACTCGTCAGCAAGGAGTACCTGTAATCTTGAGGGAACTGGTGCTCCCTGACGGATTCGATCCCATGTCACTCAGCTTCGCAGTCAGAGATGTTACCACTGAGCTATTCGAGCCGCGACCGACCTCCTGTAGGACGTAGTGTTACCAGAAGTCATCAAAGAAATGAAATCCAATTTAATTAGCGTTAAAAAATAAATGATTTTCTTCAGTTTATTGTGATAAATGCTTTACAATATAAATACGAGTTTTATAGAAAGTTGCATCACATAAAACACTGTTAATATATATCTGCATTCTGAAGATGTTATACTTACTTTCATGGTTCGACGGTAGCACAAATTCTTAAGTTACGTCACAGCATATTTGCCTGTTATTAGTCTCATGCCGAAAGTTTGATTTTTCCTAAAGTGATATATTCTTAACATTAAAACAACATGGATTTTATCTTCCAGAAGTAGGTAGTTAATCGTTTTAATATAATAATTAGTATGAAGTCGATTATTGTCAAACAATAGATTCAAATTCATTGGCTAATCACTAACTTATTAAACATAAATCTAAAATTATTCATAATACACAAATCCGTGCATAGCAATTACTTTAACAATCCATTAAATCAACTTTAATCTCAATTTTCAAAAAGGATATATTCAATGCTCATAAATCGTTTTCCTGGTTAGCGTTTTTTGGCGAGTTAATTTTCTACGGGATGGGGTTGCTAACCTCATGCCCAACTGTTATGACTTTGTAAGAAATAGGACGTATGCCAAATCGTTATGATTTTATGTCTGACTTTTATCACGTGATTTATTCACCAATCGAAATACGACTTTTCCCATTTTAACACTGTGACAGATCAATGACGTTCGACCAGTATGAGTAGTCTAGCGTCTTTATTATTCCCTTGTCCGCCTAGCCCTTCCAATTGAGTCCAAAACACCAATTACAGCTTTTGCTATACAAATCATTTATTTCAAACATACTCGGTTTATATAATAGATCGATAGACCACATCACACCTTCAAATGGAAAATAATATTTGTACAAGATCAAGCCAAATGTGATTGTGAACGCGGGATACAGTAATCAATAAGCTGAATATGATTTAGGGACAGTAAGTCGTATAATAATAATCCATAGATCAAAATGAAGCTTATAATAAGATGAATATAGATATACACAATCTAATTACTCAATAGTCAAACAATAAGAATATATATAGAACAATAGTCCATTAATTGGTCCCGGAAGTTACCCGTATTCATGTCTTCGCTAAGACATAACAACAACCCTCCTCCTTTATCCGGGCTTAGGATCGGTAGTAGTACCTGGAGGAGCTACAGGCGGAGTTGTTTATAAATTATTTTATCTTTAATATTAAAATTTCATAAAAGTAGTATTTGAAGTAATTTTCACATATCATTTGAGTAGTGTTGTTATTTCTTTTAATTTCATACCAATTTTGTGATTAAAAAAAGAGACCTAAACAAAATACTTTATTATATTGTTATTTATTTGGTTAATAGATATGTGAGAGACAAAATGAATTCATTGAAGTAAGTATTGATATTTGAATTTTATTTAATAAATTTTAAGTATAATAAGAAATTAAATAGTGAATAGTGACTTCATAAATCTTAATTAAATCCTGATAATGAATGATTAGTCTAGAAACTTTGAGAAACAATAAGTACAAAGCATTTTGATAGAGTTTTGTTCTCTGAGCTGGATGGTTTGGTCGTGGAGCTTTCATCGTCCTTCTGAACGACATCGATGTTGATTGGTTCTTGTTGAGCTTAAATCTGTCATTGTTTATTTCTTTGTTTTGGTTGTATCTTCTATTGGTTTGATTTTTGTTCCTATGTTTCTGCATGATTTTCCTGATTGGTTGATAAATTGGATTGATTTCAATGTGCCTGTTTATTGCTGATTGACCTGAGTGCCAAGCTTCTAAAAATTCTCAGGTGTTTTTGGAATTGCCTCTATCCAAAATCTCCACATTTTTCCAGTCGAATGTGTGTCCGCAGTTGTCCACGTGCATTGATATGAGTGAAGACATGTCGTGGCGTTTGACTGCTAATTGATGTTCATGCAGGCGAAGATGAAGAGGGCGTCCGCTTTGTCTGATGTCGTTTGGAAAGACGATGAAAGCTCCATGAACAAACCATCCAGCTCAGAGAACAAAACTCTATCAAAATCATCCTTTTAAGCTACAAATCTCCACCCGGCATAAAGCATATTTAATCTACTCTAATACATTTAAATAAAACATGTATAACTTCATTAGGAAACTGAAGTTGAGTTGTTTAAAGTTTTTATACTATACGAGTGAATATAGTAAGTGATGAATTGTTGGAATATAATTCATCTCAAATTGATTCTTGATATTTATAATCATTACTGAAATTAATCAGTACTTTCAAGTACTTGCAACTTAATTATGGTATTCAATCTAAATTTTTGTTGATTATACTGTTCTATAGATATGGAATTTAAAACTGAAAATTCTTGCTCAATACTTAAGAACGCTTGTTAGGAAGTGATTAAAACAAATCCATTATTTGAACCAAACATAGTTTCAGAGTTCAACTTAGTTACTTAGTAGTACATAATTGACTGGTAGGCTAGAACAACATGCTTTCTACAGTTTTCAGTAACGAACACTCAGTGAAGCAGTAAAATTTGCTAGTAATCAAATGAACAAACTGATCAGTCAAAATATAACTATCTTAATTGAGTGTGAATTCATTTACTTGTTATCATTTGATCACTGATTGATGCAAGAAACAAGTTCCTCATAAGCTTATAGTTGGTTTTCTTAGGGGGCCACACCCCGAATCTTCGACCTAAAGATCTGATCCACAAGGCAGTGGAGCATCGTAAGGAGATGCAGTCCCATGGTAGCCGGTGACCAACGATTGATTCATACGCTATTTCATTCCCTCAGGATTCTGGAGCCCATGTGCACCATTGGTTTGGAATCAAGGTTTCGCAACTCCTCTAGGTGAACTTTCTGTGTCCACTTATAGTGTCAACATTTTGAGTACATTCTGATGCAACAGAATCTCTATTACAACTTGAATAATCATAAATGTCTTCTCTAAATTATGCTTTCTTTAATTATCCAGTGAATATTTAGCTTCAAGAAATATGTAAGTGTTTTTCAAAATTCTCAAATTTTTTTTGAAATTTAAACATACTTTACTGATTTGTTGAAGCAACTTCTAATAATCCTATTAAGCTTAGTAGTTTTAAAGTATATCATACTTTTGCGTAACAGGTTTCAATAAACATTAACACATTCCAAGAATATGGGAAAACATGTCTGAATCTAATTGTTCTCACTGATGTCTTACCACTGATAATTCAGAAGGTATGTATTTTATAGCCAATAACATAAAGCTTACAACACTTCTAAATAAGCAAATTTTGTTTAGTAATGAACCAGTATGGAAATGTGCTTTATTCATACAATTCCTTGGTAACACCGATACATCTTTGTCTTCTCTATGCATATAAGGTATATGCTGATAACTTATTTTCAACTTTGTTTCTACAACTCACCAAGTCAATACTGTTTTATATAAAATGCTGAGAAAAACCATACAGTTCATAGATTATTCCACAAAGTATTATCAGTTCAATAAAAGTTTTGTAAGAGCTTCTTTATATTAATAAATCACATTTATGCATCTGAATGCAGATGATAAGCATATCACAACTTATAGTTAGCTTATAAGAGATGAATGTACCTTAGTTATGCTAATGGTATTTTATTGAGTTTTCTAGATTATGTAACCTTAGAGTAATATTTATTATCAGAAGGGGTTTGGTGGAGATTTTAGTAATTTTATAGAGTTGAGATCATAAGTCAATTGAAGCTGCTGAGGAGTCCCATAATAGGACGAAACGGCCGTGCTTCCAGGTTTTCGATGGTTGTCTAGATTCGATTAACTCATGATCTCAACTCTATAATAATTATTAATTAAATGGGATTGAACCATCTCATGGTATACTACACTCTTTTGTTTGTGTAGAAACAATAAACTATTTTATTCTACAGAATATCTTATAAATGAAAACATAAAATATATACCGCTAAATTTGATTTTACTGTAGCGAAAAATCTAAAAAAGGAAATACAAATCCCTAGTTAAAAATATAGATTAATAAATTGGGAAAATCTCAACTGATCTTTAAGAAAAATTCTAAATTTCAAAGTGAAATCATTGAGATGAATGATGAAAATAGAGTCATTGAAGGTTGTGACTGTTTCAGTGATTAATTAGACATTGGTGAATTTTGTGGTAGCAACGAAACTTAAAATACAGTATGAATTCTTTCGGTATAAACAATGGCGATAAATCTAGGCATCAAAGCATCAAGTAAATTTAGTTCGCTTATCACCAATCACACTTTGTTATAAAAGTAGTTTACAAGGATAACTTCTAAATTTCTTTCTGTTTCCTAATACATAAAACATTAAGTAGCATCCATAAGGTATTGATCATATGTTTCAAGCTAACTGATTTATTGAAAGTAAGAATGTATTTCACTCTTTTGTTTCTTGATTTACTAATACATTTAGTGAAAAGCAATTCACCGAAGAGGAGTGAGTTCACTTAAATAACTATTCAAACTAAAAGATAATTAAGCTAATGTTTACAGTCTTGGAATGTCTGGGGAATAATTCACCAGTGTTCCCAATAGTCAATCCTGTAAGTATAGTGTCCAAAACTGATGACACTGAAAATGCTCAGAGTGAGATTGTTTAACCAGCATTACCAATAAAATTGCCCTTGATGTTACTAATTGTGCATGAATCTAATCCATGGAGATAGCTATATATAAAATTCCTGATAGTACCATACTATTTCAGTAATAATAGTGAACATCAGTTAGTCTACGAATCACCGATCGTCAGGTATTCTGGTGTTTACTACAATTTCAGCAGAACAATCAAACAGAAATTGGATTCCGTCTATAAATGATGCTACATAGTTTAAGGAGACTGACGATGCATATCTGTGTCAGTTGTTTGTTTTAGTAACTAACGTAACTAAACTCCGTGATATTTTCAATAAAGATGAACAACAACCTAATGAATAGTGAGCTAAAATAAATTCATGAAGAGAAGATAGAACGATAAATAGTATCGAAACAGAAAAAGGGATGGAAAAGAACAGTTAATAAAAAAAATACTAGAATGACAGTAGTAATCGTATCGATAATGTTCTTACGAAATTGATAATACAATCCCAACAAAATATATTTGAATCCTAGAATCACTAATCAAATGATTGGATGCATTTTTTTAGTAATTACAGCCTTCAGTCATCGATTTTATTAAAAAGATAGCGTTACTATAAATTACAAACCAAGCAGTTTGTCTGATAAAGAAACGTATAGTTCACAAAATAAGTAGTAAGACAACAATTTTATCCGTCAAGTCGGTTTGAAGGTTAGTCTTATTGACTTAATAGTATACATCACAATGTACTTAATAGAATAATCACAATACGAATCATACTTCAAATGAGAAACACATGATATAACAAGAAACGGAGATATGAACCGCTCTTATGAAGCAGAGGATGCAACACAGAAGTTATTTGTGCCTCTCTGTATCTTTTTATATAAATGATAAAGTAAAAAATTGATATATTTAATTTTCATTATTAGTTTGATCGGTTTTATTTTGTTGTTATTAAATAAGATTTTCCAGACTGGTAAATTCCATGTAAGTACATGACATATGCATGAATTACTTCTATAGACGACCCATTAGAATCAGGTTTTTAGACCAAAAAGAGTATTTGTAACCTTATTAAGAACTTGGAAATTACAGTATTGTAAATTTCAAGAACTGGATCAGTTAGGTTAAACATGAGCAAGCTAAAAATACTTAAATCTTATGATAAACTTTGTACTGTTGAATGATTGGGTGAGAATATAGTGAACAACATCTAATTATATGATCTAATTTAACACACTCAGTAATATAAAATTATGTATGTGATTCAGGTTAAAGAAGCATATCGAAGACAAGTGAGTTCATTCAATGTTTTATAACATTTACATAATACATAATACAAACACAACAAATTATCATAAACTATTGATGATGTTTATTAGAATGAATTTGCATAGCTGATTACTTCATGGAGTGATTCCATATCTTAGTTAGACAGTCCCTTGCTTTCTTCCTGTCTACTTCTAAACCAGACAGCGTACATTGTCCAGGTTATTGATGGCTGAGCATTCGTAAAATATGTCCAAACTAACTCAGTTGATGAAAATTAATTTCTTCATCAATCACTTTGTCACATTCACATACTATCCTAAACCTAAATTTGGCATTAGTCACTCAGTGTTACGAACATAAAGGATAAATGAATCAGAGGCACATACAATGCAATAATAATAAATCAAGATATTTCCCTATTCTTACAGATCACGTTTCACTATTAAAACATCGAACGGAATAGACACATGGTCACTAAACTTGTACATACGTTGTTCATTCAATGTTTTATAACATATACATAATACATAATACAAACACTACAAATTATCATAAACTATTGATGATGTTTATTAGAATGAATTTGCATAGTTGAAATCATGAGTCAATTGAAGCTAGATCACCATGGGAAGCCTAGAAGCACTGAAAGGCCGTTTCGTCCTATTATGGGACTCCCCAGCCGTGTGCATCCACGATCCCGCCTCGCGAGATTCCAACCCAGAACCTACCAGTCTCGCGCAAGAGCACTCAATAGATAGACCACTAAGCCGGCATACAACAGTGTTAATGTCCAACTTCAACTAAACCACGATGTTTGAGCAACCGTTCACCAATTGTCTTCAGTGAGTTGATATCTCTACAACAGACTTGGTTGAACTCCACTGGTCACTGCTTCTCACTAGAACTCAAGGAGATATCTCTTGAAGTCAGTCACTAGTGAGCATATGATTATTATTATCAGAAGGGGTATTGTGGCGATTTCAGTATTTGCATAGTTGAAATCATGAGGTAGGTCCTAGGTTCGAGTCTTGCGAGGCGGAATCATAGATGCGCACTTCTGAGGAGTCCCACAATTGGACGAAACGGCCGTCCAGTGCTTCCAGATTTTCCATGGTGATCTAGTTTCAATCGACTCATGATTTCAACTATGCAAATACTGAAATCTCTACAAAACTCCTTCTGATATTAGAATGGATGTTTATATGATTACATAATCAGTAATTATCCTTAATAAGCTATATATTGACATAATTTTATCGAGATATATTTTATTAAAACTACACAATCACATAGTTAAACAGAATCAATGCGATCATTAAAACAATAACCTGAATGATGAATATTAACAGTCATAGTGATTTGACATAAGTATTGCATGTGTGATATAACTCAGTTTGTAATAGCTCATTTTAAATCTATTATTATCTTTGAAAAATGACTCCTCAGCAGTGCGCATCCATAATAGTATATAGGAAATTTTTAACAACAGTCATATTTCTCTTTATCTGTTAAAATAAATGATAGGGTAAACTATAAGATAATAACAGAGAGCTATAGCTTGACATTTTATGGTTAGCGTTTATTGAGAGGGTTAGTTTTCTACGGGATGTGGTCGTTAAACCCATGCCCAAACCTTCTCCTTGACACGGGCTTAAGACCGGCAGTAACTAACTAACTAAGTAGGTAAGTAAGTAATAGCTTGACATGTAAAAATACTGGAAACTATATGCTGAATAATGCAATATGTTTAATTTCAACTCATTTTTGGGTTGGATAAACTAAAGAAAATCTGATAAAAAAAACTGTTAAACATTCATTATAGTTTGTATTGACAAATAAAAGTGCTGAGACTATAATTTATGAACAACCTTTGAGCAACGCTAAAGTGACAGTCAGAATATTCACCTATTTATTGGAGCTAAATGAGGGTTATAAAGCAGTGCGAAAAATAAGGATTATGGTTTACGATTGATGAATAGAGTTAGGAATTACATTTATGGTTTTTATCACGAACTGACATAATCTAAAATGCCAAAAGTGTATTTAGACAAATGGGTGAAGGAATTTCAATCCAAAATCCGAAACCTATTATCTTAAATATGATTGGTTCGTCTATAAATTATAGTTTCGCCATAAAAGTTCCTTTACACTAAATGTAAATTCAGAAAAAAATGTGGGTTCTAATGAGAAAAAACGTTTTAAAATTTAAATATACTGCCTACGCTTTTGATGGATGAAAGAACCATTGGTTACTCGGTAAAATATTGTGAAGAAAGAAACCTTCCGAAAGACTGATTGCTTTTAGATTAAACTAAGAGACAATACGCACAGTATGCACATATGCCAATTAGAGACTGACCAGTTGCAGTCCTAAAACATCAATGAGAAGATTCAAACAAACAATACTAAGTGAATTTAAACTAGAATTTAGTTAAATTGAAAGCGCAGATGTAATTATATAAATAAGTTGTTTTGAAAAATTCCTAAATGTGGTCTGGGATCAACGTCAGTGTTTATTGCAAAACGGTGTAATCAACAAAATACTTAACAAATAAGGATTAGAAAAATCAAAGAAGCATTTAAATAGACTGAAACAGAAACGGCAAACTGACTCAATATTTCTTTGTGATAATTCATTTTTGCATTCGTTGCGTAAATCTTCCAATTAATGTTTAGAACTGTAATTGATCAATCACTTATTGACATACGTGCATTCTGTGCGGATTGCCTCAATATCGCTTTAAGTCACAAGCATTATAAGCAGAGATGATAGTGGCTAGAAGTGGAATCCAGGTTGTGCGTTTCATCTCATTTTAGATTTGTCAGTTGGATGCACGTGCTGAAATTTGAAGCGAACGGAACTGGGTCCAAGTCACAATATTCAACACAAATCTTACAAATTTTAGCATTTTCTCACAGGGATAACGTTTTAATTTACATTATAATTGCTTTCATTATCATTTCGGTGAAATTATTTAGTATTTCTGAAATGCGGATTTTCAATCCCACTGCAAGCCACCATCGTTTCTACTCATAATAAGATATTTGTGAAAAATTCCAGAGACGTCGATATCCGCATAATTGAAAAGTATGTGAGCATTTGTTTGTTAAAATGTTTAGTATAAATTGGCAAAACCTATAATGACTGAAAATTTCAGAATTCCCTTAAAATTCTATAGAAGCCACATGCGAACAGATTATTTCAGCAAATTCCGTACAACCAAACATCATAAAACTACCAAATACTCACGAATGTAGCGTTTGACAAATCCGGAGACGAATAGATACTAAACAATCATTTAAGCATAAAGCTGAACACTGAATAAAAGAACGAATATTAAAACAAATCAGTCAGTCATATGCAATTTAGATCATGACGTATTTGTGAATCGACTAAAGTTACCTCATTATTTCGTCACAGAAAATTAATATTATGAAAACCAATTCAAAAATCGCAGAAGTAATAAAGTTATCCGTAGAAGTAGTAATACAAAAGATTAGGTGTGGACAACAAAGATCTGACAACAAAGAAAGTATTTGAAAACAAGTGTAAGGTGTTATTGTAACTCATAATTTGAGAGAGGACAGAAATTGAATACATCTCCACCAGTGAAAATGATTATGAGACATATCAAGTGATCTTTTCAAACCTATGGTTGTAATCAATGCGTGAAACACATCCAGGTATTTTACATCTACCGATACTCTTCAATCCAACAGCTGATTACTTCATGGAGTGATTCCATATCTTATTTAGACAGTCCCTTGCTTTCTTCTTGTCTACTTCTAAACCAGACAGCGTACATTGTCCAGGTTATTGATGGCTGAGCATTCGTAAAATATGTCCAAACTAACTCAGTTGATGAAAATTAATTTCTTCATCAATCACTTTGTCACATTCACATACTATCCTAAACCTAAATTTGGCATTAGTCACTCAGTGTTACGAACATAAAGGATAAATGAATCAGAGGCACATACAATGCAATAATAATAAATCAAGATATTTCCCTATTCTTACAGATCACGTTTCACTATTAAAACATCGAACGGAATAGACACATGGTCACTAAACTTGTACATATGTTGGTAGATGTATAATTAAAACGTCAAACAAGACTTCTTATCAAGCACAAACAGAGTCGGTTAGATAAAATCTCATCAGAATTTAAACATTAAAAGAATCATAAAAGGTAATAATTAGAGTACCTTTTCAAAATAACTCTCAACTGTTTGACGACAAGTAATTTATCTTATTTCTCTTATACAGTAAGAAGGATAAACATCCTACTCAGAAGTGAGTCAATCGTCTGTTGTCATTTATCGTATTGATTTGTTCGTTGTTTAATTAAGTGTTACAAATTTATTCTTCTAATTTGCTCATCATAATTTATCGGTTGGTGTTCAATTTCTATTTTTGTTTGTATGTCTTATCCACATTTTTATCAATTTGGATCAATTGAATTCTGAGATTACCATCTATTCATAATGATCTCGCTTACTCATATTAAACTAATTCATCTTATGTGCACTGTTCAGAGATAATGATGACCATCTTGTACAGAAGTGAATAAATTCCTCATTGTCTATTCTTATATTCAATGAATTCGTTGTATAAAATAGGGTACACTGAGAGTTAACGAATTAGATTCGTCAATCTTTGTTAGAAAGATAAAATCTATTTCCTCACTTGTAATGTTCTAACTTTCAAATCAATTATAGGAACTCATATAACATCCCCAAATAATGTCATTTAAATGATCTAGATTGTCATTTGACAACTTTAGTTGTTGAACTATAAAGCATAACAACATCAAACAAAACCTGACATAGTGCACAACAGACAACGATTATTTTCCTTCCTCATATACATAATGTAATCATCATCATCACGGGAAAGCATTTGGGAAAATTATCAAGGAAAATTATCAATATTTGCAAAGAATAGTCGACGGAAATCAAGTGGTATGAATAGAACCACAAATTTGTAGTTCTCTTTCCTGGTTGTCGTCATCCTATATTAATTGTGTCACACATCACTGATAAAGTTTACAAAATACAATGTGATGTACTTGTATACCAAAATAAACCAATAAAATATGGTAAATCTAAACAAAATCTTGAATCAAATATCATGTACAATATCACTGATAATGCACATAGAAAACTACCAAACACTTCAATGATTTACACAGTTTCTAAATAGTGAAACATAATAAAGATGATCCAAAAGCTTTAATTTACCCACAACTGAAAACTTAATCGAAAAAAACGATCAGATAATTCACAAGATGGTATACTGAATGAAAAAAGTCTCCATACACCCAACCTCAATAATAATCAGATATTCCAGAAAGGCTAATAAAATTATAGAAGATGCACTTCATCCCATCAGATGCAATCAACCAAATAAACTACTCGTTTGAATTAGTGAGAATTCATCAAAAAACATTCTATAATAGCTTTCAATAGTAAATCTAAAACACAAATTCTTCAGCAAGTTATTTAGAAAAGTCATTACAATCTACTGAAAATCAAATAAACTATGTATTATTTGATGCAGAGAGATTCGTGATAAAACCCATGAAGTGTTACATGAATGGAACACCAATGACAATACAGTATCAGACAACATGGTCAGAATTAATGATTCCTTATGTAGTACAAATATCAGTAGTAGACTCATTGTAATTTAGGCACTATCAAATATATTACCCTTTATACGATGAGGAAATTCAATCTCATTTCTATTATTTAGAGAAATCTACAAACCTATAACGCCAAAGTGAGTGGACTGACAGTTGTCTTCCATTTATTCTTTTTATCCCATACGTTCAACGTTTATTAAGTCTGTACGATATGCTCTCACTTTCATAGAATAGCACTGAGAAACACTAAGTTCCGGTTGCAGCAACACAATGACTGGAACCTTCATCCTGAACTATAATCCTCACTTATTTAGCTACTTGAAACACAGGAATTGATAATAACCATGAAAATAATCTGAAATCCACCGACAATAGAAGTTGTGTGGTGTGAGTTGATTTAGACATTCGTCATCGGAACATGTATAAACTAAGGAGGATGGTGATATTTACAAAGTCAAACCAAATCAAACTGGAATATACTATTTTATCATCAAATTAATACAAAACATTGTTCATTTATGTTTTCTTGACGAAATATTCGTCACAACACAAATTAAATGTGAAAGCTGAGTTTTCACAATTAATACACTTTAATCGTATATAAAGAGAGCTTGTTTTCTTGCCTATATAAATTCAGACTGGAATTGATCAATTTGTGACATTATGTAATTTCTTGAACTGTGTTGTCCACTATTTACTTGAATGGTTTATTCATTTTAATTTATCAGTCAGTGTTTGACCTCCATGTGTAGATGAGTGTGTGTGTGTAATGTGTTCTGTGCATTGAAATGTGGAAGTGATTCCGAATTATTGTCAGAAATCGGTGACCCTATTAATTCTGTCTACCGAGTGTGATATATTAAGAGAGTGGTTCATATATCTAAATACTTAATGGAGGATAAATGCAGAAATTGAGGACGACAAGAGATATCACATGAGAAATTCTTATCACAACGTAAAAATGAAGGGTGTATTCAAATTAGTCATAAGGTCCTTCTAGCTTCAATCACTCGACTGTTTTCAAGTGTTCAGTTTTCTTTCCATAGTGGGTAAAGGCAGTTTATTTTCGTGTATTTGTTTAAAGGGAAATAAATAATGGAACGTCAGACAAGTGAGCTAATTTCATTTTATTATTACTCGAATTACTTTATTCAGGATCCAGTTGAATGTTATAATGACTCTAACTTAAATATCAGTGTTCAAACTTCATATATACAAGCAGAATTATATTTTGGTTTCTGTGCATTAGAGTGTGGATAGATTGATCAATGCTCTAATCATAAGCTATTTGACAACTTCAGATTAATCAAATGAAAACTACAGTCGAATCGTAACCATACGAATAACAGAAGCATTCAATTTAGTGTGCTGACTGAAAATTCCCACAAGAGTCAATTTTATGGTAGGTAGAATTCGATGAGCACAACCAGACGTATTGTAATTGGAATTCGTAATGATCACACGATCAAGTACGAAGGAATCATAGGCTAGTAAAAATACCAAAAGCACCACAACTCAAATGAATGCTGGGCTTTTGTAATTCCTCGTACGACTGCTTAATTGAATTTATATCAGATTCTCTTTTGAAGTTATTTTTAATGTTGTCTGGAAAATTCTCACTAGTGTAAGAATTATTAACAAAAACCGAAACCGAATCTCTCTTGTCCTAGTAACGCATTTCTTTTTTGAAAATGTCATGTATGAAAACTAAGGAAGGTACGTTTCAATAATGGGACCTCGAATGTGTGTTTTGTTAAGTTATTTTAGTTAAAAGTTCATACATTCTTGAGAATGTTGATATCCTAATGAACAGTTTTCGATGCGTTTAATTGTTTCCGTTACAGGTTAGATAGCCTTTGTTGCGTATTAATCATTTGTTGACCTTCGGCTTCTTTGAAGCCATTTAACCTTTCTTCGAGACACGTTCACATCGCGTTGAAATTTGACAATGTAGTATTTTCTACTCAAAAATATATTTCAAAAAAGAAGATATATTATCGTTTCCTAAAATCCTTGCTGGAAACCTGTTAGGAACGTAAGTGAAGGAATATTTTCTTTTCTCCACTTTTATAGACCTCAGTCCATAGCCGATATGTAAGTCACTAATGATATAATATGCTTTCATGATACTCAATAACAATTTCATATAACTACTTAAGAACAAATAAGAAATTGAAAACTATTAAACACAGAAAGTTCGCAGTTATTTCGGATATTCATTTTGGAATGTAACCCATTTATACCAACATCGTGTATTTCAACAACGAATATCTCATGTTATTTAACGGCAGGAACCAGGCGATTCACACACGATGTCTTGTTTGATTATCTTTTATAGATAAAGAGTTATTTACACCATTCTATGATTTTAGAATTATGAAAATTGACAATAATAGTAAAATGTATATTTTACATAATTCAGTGAGCCCTATTCTCCGTGGGATAGTGGTTAACTTAATAGATATTTTGTTTATGTCAATCCCTATCATCCAGTCAGGTATAACCAAAACATTTCAAAAAACATAAATTGTTAGTCAAACACCATGATATGATGATCCCACTCTTTTTATGTTATGACAGCTAGAATTAAGGATTGCACTAAAACAACCCTTAAATATTCGAACTGGAAAGATCTAAAGCATTTACAGTAGGGTCAGTTATCTAAGCAACATTCAAAATACTTACAAAGTAATCAGTACTTTTGATAAGTCTGGATAGTGTAGCAAGAAAACGAAAATTATCAGAAACTTATAAAGTATTAAACATGATACAGAATTTGTAGACGTTGAAGATGATTTTGCTTCGTTTTGTAGTTCGTGACATCATAGATTGTATCGTTTCACGTTGAATTGAAATACGTATGCGAGTACCATAAGCGTAACTATTAGTAGCAAACTTTTACATTAAAAAATAATCAAGATCCACCTATAAGTCAACTGCATAGAAATTCGATCAGCTCACTTGATTTGTGAGTTACACTAACAACACTTTCCAGAAAGACAATGAAAGTGGACGGTACTGGGTTTGAGTCACTGTGTGGATATCAACACTGGAATGCAGGCGCATCCAGCTAAAGAATCCCAATTAAAAAGAAATGTATTTCTTATATTCCACTGCTAACCACCATCCATCTTTGCTCATGATATATAATGTCATTAAAATGAGAATAAATCACTTATCACACAATTACCAAGTAAGATTTATTGTAAGCCTAAATAGAAAGAAGCTTCATAAAATGTTGACACCAAACTTTTTTAAATTTTCTTAATAAAGTTTCTTAATCAATAACCCAAAGTAAGTGAAACAATATCTGGATACTTTTTAATATTTATCGTTACCAATTGGATCTATTCAACATTTGTTAGATTTTAATATTTGAACTATACGTCAATTATTATTATTATTACATTGAATAATGTCTATGGAAGTTCTATTTCCCTAATGAAATCCTATAAAGTTTCTTCTAAATATTTCTGTCTAATTGTACAATTGACTAGTCAGTTTGAATAATACACAAAGAAAACTGTAACTTTTACATCTGATTTCCATATTGAATAATTCGACTAATATCTAACCCCTGAGTATTTGATTGGCAACTCAGTGAATGATGTATCTTTCAAATTCCCTTATCATTTAGGGTTCCTTTGTGGATTGTAAAGTGAGTCTGTCAGTTCAGTTTCTGTAGTAGTTTAACATTAAAATTGCATCTTTCAACAAAGTTTTATGAATTAGTTCTTGAAATAAATAATTGATGAAATTAATCTTAATGAACTAGATGTTAACTCACTTTTCGGTGTAAAAGGTTCTCAATTTCAAACGTTAGAGAATTACGGTGGCTAAAATAGAATAATCATGTTACATTGACTTTAAATCTGTAAGATGCCGGTTTAACTTGGAATATTCCATTTATATTTAGAGAAATGAAAATTTAGTTTTTTATTTTAGGATCTGTCACCCTATCTATTTATCTGCTATGATGACTTCAATATCTCAAATCTTGTCGTAATCTAATTTTTTTACTGTATGTAGTTCAATAATGATATATCTGAAGCTTTATAGGGAAGCGTAAAAGAAGATTGTCATTAGGAAACATTGGACTTAGCATTGTGATGGATTTCAATTGTTAGCAAGGAATATTTCTATTCTTGAGTGAGCTGGTGCTTCCTGTGGGATTCAGATAAGTTTCATCCAGCCTCATGGTTTGAGATGTTACCATTTTGTTATCCGTGTCTCAAGCGACCTATTGGATATCGAGTCATTTAGAATAATGTTCACCTTTCAAACTAATCCATAGAATTCGATCAAGAATAAAGGGCTAAGTAAAGATAACATTGGTCACTACTCAGTGACTTACAAATGTATGTATAACACGTTTTTGTTTTTCGTGTTTGTATACAGATATTTGTATTATCCACTAATATATCGAAATTCTTTTTGAATCATGGTGCTCGGTTATCCCCTATTTTTTGTCACCCGATTTCTCCTTTCTAAATCAACATTTTTCAGCAGAATATCATCTGAAAAAGACTAGACACAATATCAATCTGTTTCATCCTAGAGATTGTGGAATGTCAGCGTCAGGTCTTTGGATTGTACTTTAATCTTTGACGTATAGTTCAACACAAGATCAAAACTTTAACCTTCACGATATGAGGTAAACTCCACAATATAAAGAAATGCTAACGTCTAATAGGTCTATAGTATTAGTGATTTATAAGTCTGATTGTTGACTGACTTTATGTGTTGAAAGAAAGCCATACAGTCACATTGAGAGAGTATTTTATCAACCTTTTCCTATAATTTCATCGTATGACTACAAATCTACATGCACATGTGAATATAATTAGATAGATTAACTAACTTTTAGGACTTTAAAAGATCTTGGAAATTTTCAGGATTCTAAGTAAGAAACGAAGTGAAGTTGATAACAGTGAAATATTCATACATCAGAGGCCCATATGACTTGATGTCTGTCACACATTGGGATTACAGATAAAAAGGATCCAATAACAATTATTGTGTATTGGATCACAAATTGCACCATGTACTTTGATTCATACGTGCAGCTGATTTAGTGTCAAGTTCAATCACATCAATGGTCATACATTCTTATGATATGTAAATCTTATATAATTAGTGTATGATAGCTAGAATATGTGTGGTTCGCATTTTTGGTTGTAGATAGTATGTACTACTTTCATCTATTTTGAGTTGTCCTTTAAACTGACTGATTATTACTATTTGCGTTTTTCATTATTTGTTCTAACCAGTCCTCTATACTACATGGTCGAGTAAGTTTACTGTTTTACTCTTCAGTCCCATAATTATTTCTTCAACCAAATAAACCAGATGATCACTTTACTCAATCTTCCAATTTGGGAGTTGTTTTTCGTAGGCGTTTCACTGATTCATAAAGTTGATTATAATGTTCTTATTGATTTTAAGTCGTGATCTACAAGGCTAGATTTTTATTATTATTAATATTACTAGTAGGAAAATGAGACATTTATAAAATGAAAAATCTAGGTGATCTAGAAGTACTGTCATAAAATCCATCTACATAAATTAATTAAGAGGTGGAAATCTCAATTCAAGAATATAGAGTGATCGATTAGAAAAAATCACATTAGAAATACACATAGACAAAACAGTGGGTATAATTCATCAATGCTTTTGAGATGGTGGAGATTTCTAGCTCAGGTGGATGATTTTGATGGAGTTTTGTTCTCTGAGTTGGATAGTTTGGTTGTGAAGTTTTCATCATCTGAACGGCATCATCAACGCAAACTTCAGGTAGAAGTGAAGTGTTCGAATTTCTCTACCCAGCTTATCAACACTAAAACCTCATAAATAGGTTTAAATTTCAAACTACCTACGTTCTGACCATTCATTCTTATGATGATTGACTTTTTATTGCTGAGGGTTATATCAAATAGAATTTCTCAATTCATCTACTACACCATAAATTATAATTCAAGAATACGTGATATCTATTTATAAATTGCATTTCTACTACAGGAAGTTTGTGCAAATTATGGGATGTGAGTTTTGACTTTAGTGTTTTGTTACGTAATGCTCTGTAATATTTACATCATGAATATGTTGATGATTGTCTTTAAACTATCCAGTAATCTGTGTTAATTTACATCCAACAAAAAACTCATATAACGTTCAGACTATTAGGACGTGTTTCTTGAAAATAATGACGGGGCAGCTTCATTTCTGAAGCTATTCTTCGCCGTAACAATAAAGATACCTAGATAAACGTTACACATATTGGAATAGCTGATCGATTAATCGTTCCTCAAATTTCTTTATTCGACTGATTCAAAATCATAGTCTGTCAAAACAATTATTAAGTAGGATCTGAATCTTATTTTTAATACCGACAAGGTGTCATTATAACTATTCAATTATAAACAGTGATGTATTTATGGGTACATTTTCTTAGAGAGCAAGTAACCAAACATTCATTTCTAGTTGTTTCTATACTTTGAACTGTCTTATATCAAATTATGTTATGGAGCATCATTAACCTTACAAAATTTATCTTCATGAAAATGAGTTGCATTTTCCACTAATAACTTCTAGATAGTCTAAATTTATTTATTTACTTCTACGGCTACTCAATGAAAGTGAGAAATGCAAATAATTCAATTGGCCACTTAAGTAAACCGATGTCAACAAAACTATCAATATTTAAATCATGTTTACTTTACAAATGTTTTATCTGACTCCAAGGTCTTAAACAGTTACCATGCGATAAAGCAGAATTCCAATCTCTTTAAAAAGTAATAAAATAAGTGTATGAAGGATTGCTTTTCGATTTATGCAAACAACGCTATGCTTACTCAGGTTGTGAATGAATAAAATTCAAGTTTGAATATCATAAGTGAAAGAAACAACAATAAGTTGTGTGTAGTTTAATTAAAATTTAGTCATGCGGTATTATGTAGTTTTCTGAAATCTAGAAAAAACAATTAGTGACTAGCAGATTTGTTAGACAGGGTACTGATATTTGTAAAATATTAAAATGAAATCATTTTCTAGGCTAACTAATTGAGCATCTACCACTGAAATATCAAACTAAAGATTGACTGTTTATTAGTTATTCTCATCAAATAACACAGTATCGATCTGGTGCAGATTTGATTTTCAAGTTATTCTCAATAGTCTAAGTTAGTTTCGCCAGCTAACAATTGCACAATTATACACTAAATTATGTCATAATTACGAAGGGATATTTGTGTAGAGACAATGATGGATTCTTTTACTTAGAAGCAAATTAAGTAAACATAAATGAAAGGTGTTTATCGTATATTTCCAACGAACATACACGTTAATTAGAGTATTTTAAAGGAATCATTTCACGCACTAAGGAAAACGAGAATTTGTTTATCATATTATTATCGTTTAGTCTTAAATTTTGTAATACATCAACTAAGATTAATGAATTCAATGCAAAAATCCACTTTAAATGCCTCATTCATCAAACAAGTGACCTTACCTCCGTATCTAATAAGGATTATGAGCGTTTCAAAACAAATCTTATAGACTATTGTGATCAATATGTAAACATAATACCTTAAACTAGACGATTAATTACAAAATAACATAAATCTCAACTACTTGATTGTCTGAGAAATCAAGATTTAGTTCTGTCTCCCAAACAAGGCTGCTAGAATTCTACTTATAGACTGTCAAGACTATTTTACCAAACTATCCTCGAAATTATCGGATGCTGTCAAATTTTCTAAAGGGAATATTCAAAAAGGTGCAACTGATAAGACAGAACAAATTTTAATCAAGGAAGATGAAGGATGAGTCTGTCACCACTCAAGAATATCGTGAACATCTCAGACCATTGGGTTCCGCTTCACCGAGACTATAAAGATTCCCAATAGTTCGTTAGAAGAATGTCCCCCTACATCCTATACTTGATGTGAATAGCACCCCGTATCATTTGATTGTTACGTGGTTAGTTGAAATTTTAAAATCTGTCAGAAATCACACCAATAAACACAAATATTTTGATTCATTTGATTACGTCAACTCAATTAAAAATATCGATGTAAATGGTAGAAACACGATCTCATTGGATGTTACTCCTCTTTTTACAAAGGTTTGACACACAAAATCCATACGTATTTTATGTGACTATATCAAAAATAACAAATTTGTTATTTATATCTCGAAATATTATCTAACAGACCTATTTCTACGATGTACCCTCAACATTTAATTCGGATTTAATAATGATTTCATAGACAAACGGATTGAATTGTAGTGAGTTCACCACTGCCCCCCTTGATTGATTGCTTCATGGTCAATCCAGAAAATGTGGAACTTTGACAAATAATAATTGAGAGATTCCATTTATATAAGAGATACATGGATGATACTTTCATTATTTGTGAAGAAGGTATGGACCTCAATGAAATTTTGGATCGATTCGATAATTGTCATCACTCAATTCAACCCAACTTGGAAACAGAGACGAACAAGAAATTTCATTTTCCCAATCTCCAGTTGGAAATAAGGTCAAATAGTTCCTTACAGAGATCTATGTATAGAAAGCCGACCTGGAATAGTCCGTATATAAATTTCTATAGCTGGATCCTATTGAGTAGAAAGAGGAACTTAATTCACTCTATCCTCGAGGACTAGACGAACATGTCATAATGACACAACGGATGATGAGCTACTACGACTTTATTTGATACGTATCAGAAATGGTTATCCACCCAGATTTGTCATTAGACACTTAACACTAAGACGACATCCTGAGAAAGCACAAACAGTTCAAGAGAAAACTCTTTATGAATGTCAAATTTAAAGGAGATATGGCAGCCGAACTCTCGAATAAACAGATTAAAAAAACCCTGAATGAAACCTTCTATTCAGCTAAACTCCGTATCGTCTTCTCAAGCCGGCAAACCATTCACGGATGTGTCAAGGATAAACGTCCGCTGTAGGCTATATCGGTGTGCATCCATAAATATGCTTGCGTCTATACAGTAAGTTACATTGACTGCACGAAGCGATTATTTTTCGAATTCATCTCTGAACATTACCTAACATGGCTTTTGAAAGGATAATGCAAAACAATCACCAGTTCAACATACGGGTACCTAATCAACTCTGAACAAATCACTCCATAGAAGTCTTCTTACAAAATAATCTACACAATCCATCGGTTAGGATTAAAAACTTATCCACTACTGAATCGTTGATGATCCACCAATCATTTTCAAAATTTAACTATTATTATTATTACTACTTTGAAGTGAACACCAAAGTGTATGCAATTGATGAGTCCAAAATAGGATGAATATCCATCTTGGATGATGTTTCTAACCAATAACTAAGTGTTTAATTACCTTTCATGAATGAGAAGATTTTCTTAAAAGTGATCAAAACAAGCTCAATTTCATTATTTTATATTTTTGATATTTTAATAGATTTACTAGAAGACGATGATACTTTAGAACTCAACTTGCCAAAAGACTATTACGACAATTCAATATGAGAATGTTTTTCAATATTTGGAAAAAGTACATAGTAACGTCAATTCATAACTAAAAACTCAAATAATTAGCATAACTTAATATTTGTTTTAATCTGATATAAATTTTCAACATTTGCATAGAATTATAAATAAAAACAACTTAACATATAAAGTATTGCATTCTATATTTGGAAATTTAGACAATAATTAATTAGATTAATATGACTCGAAGGGGGTATGGATCTAAGATATCTTTGTATTCTTATGCGCCTAAACACTGTTGTTCCACTTTTCGTCCGATTAGAGTATGGTCAAAACAGAAAAAAAACATTAAAATATACATGGTGTCTTATTTGGATAACCAGTGAAATATGTAAATGTACACACAGGCAACAGCATATAATTTAAGGAAGGCAGAAATTTGTTAATCATATAATCCACAAATAAACAACTAACATGTATGATCATCAAGGGTTGTGCTAAATATTCAAACCTGAACGAAATATAGCTATCACAAACCAAGTGATTTCTACATAGATCTTTTTAATGATGTGTTAGATGATACTTTGATTTTCACTATTCAATTTTATCTATTTCAAGTATTCTGCTTTAGTTTGATTATGCCTATCTTTCTGAATAGTATGAGAGTTCTACTAACTACCAACTTGAAGTTTTCTACTCTTAATATTTCATTTGAATGGTGTGTAGAATGCTAAAAGATTGTAGATATCATTTATACTGAAATTTTTAAAGTTACACATCAGTCATATCTAGAACCTTTTTTATATTTTCCTGATAATGTCACGATACTGATGATGAAATCAAGACGCTAGCTATCGCTCACTAAAGATTGGAACTGTTTCAGTACAAAAATATTTTAAAGTAAAATAGAACTGATATGCAGTGGAAACCAGAAGTAGCCTAATGAAAAGGTCAGACGACGGCAATCAGAAGTGACGCAAAGGTCGAATGTATTTCATTGTAGTCAGTGTGTCGATTTCCTAAGGATAGAGTGATATATATATATATATATATATATATATATATATATGATTGAATATTTGTACATTAAATTTGATAGCCCAGTACACTTTCTCGATCACCCTTGCGTTTTCGCTCACCTAGTCAGTTGGAGCGGAGGAAGAAAACTTATCGCTCAGCATACTGTGTATATAGTATCAGGTTTTCCGACAACGCACATCGTAACAGGAATCAACCGTCAAAGATATAATAATCAATAAATAAACGATAATACCACTGATTCCTTTTACAAACATAAACAAAGAAATAACAAAAATATATACAGGACACGATTTATTGTATCAATTATTTTTGCTTTATTTAAATTAATAATTGTATTTTATATTATAAAAAATTCTAATTATTATTAGAAGGGGGTTTTGTGGAGATTTTAGTGATTTTATAGGTGAAGTCATGAATTAATTAAATCTAGATCACAATGGAAAACCTGGAAACACTGGACGGTCGTTTCGTCCTATTGTGGGACTCTCCAGAAGTGCGCATTCATGACCCCGCCTCGTAAGATTCGAACCCACGACGTACCAGTCTCGCGCGCGGGCGCCTAACCTCCAGACCATTGAGCCGGCATCCAACGGTGTTAGTGTCTAACCTAATCCACGAAATTGAACAACCGTCCACCATTGTGTTCATTGAGTTACTACCTCATAACAGACCCGGATGAATTCCACTGGTCACTGCTTCTCACTAGAACTCCAAGAAATACCTGTTGAAGCCAGTCACTAGTGAGCATATGATTATTATCAGAAATGGGTTTTGTGGAGATTTAGATAATTTTATAGTTAAAATCATGAGTCAGTGAGTCTAATTATATGTACTATCATTATAAATGACATGTTTACTTTAAACTTGAACACTTCCTGTAAATCATTAACCTGGATAATCTAACTACAAACGCTGATGAGAATTTACTGATAAAACATACACTTTCTTCATATGTCTATGTTCCGATGTGATGCAAAAAATCCATTTAACTTGAATATTATTTCAAAACGTTCCACGAAGTTTCTGTTGTTGTGCAAGTCACCAAAATAAATTAGCGTAAAAACATATTGTATGGAAGACCTGATTAAAGTCGAGAAAATGACTGTTATGTTTTTTGAACTAAGTTCGGAAATAAATGACTCTTATCTTATTTCGTAAAGAGTAAAAATACCCCTGTACAGTACCTAATATGTTTAAAATCAAAATGAACAATTACGTTTTCTGGTATCATGTGATAATGTGAAACATATCAAATGCTTAGTTCTTACCGTGTAACGTGGATATAACTTGCAGATAGACCCTGTTTCTAAAGCCATAAACCCTTAAACGTGACCCAAACCTCAAGTCTGTAAACCTGATGGGCTAAAACATCGAAGCGATTATTTCAATTTGTTCATACATTATACTCCTCCATCAATTAGTTTGATTTAAAACTTCATCATTCACAAAAAAACATTGAACACATTATCACAATCCTTAAAACGTTATATAAATAAAATTGATCTAAACGCCTCATGTGTACAGTCATATCCGAATAATTACATCTGATTGAAATAAAAATTCACCTAGTTGAACAAATACAGTATATCAATCCATTGAGAACCTTAATTACACCATTGACTTTGTGTAACAGAATACTTAAATTCTCGTCATAAATGTATTATTTAAAAAAATAAAACATTTCAAAGCAGTTTATTCTCATTTGTGGAGAGAAATTCCATCCAGTTACATGAGTTACATTTGAAAGTTATACAGTCCACAACATGTAAATGTACAAACGTTTGTCAAGGGCTTGTACATACTTTAGAATGAATCATAAATGATTGATAGTTTATGGAATATCATGAGGTCTGAATAAGGAAATAAATAACTTCGAAATTGTGATTGCAGAATGGTTAGCTTGTACTGAATTTAGCGTACTCGAATGAATAGAGGTACTTGGAACAGATACAAGTTATTGACACAAGAATTATTAACTACAGATGATACTAGTGGGATTAAGTATGGTGTTATAAAATATTATCAATTTTTCAGTTATACCTTATTCATTCATGTACCAACACTTACGTTAAACATGAAGACAATTTTGAGCATACGATGGTGTCAAGTGGAGTTTCTTTTGAAACCAGATCACCTGATGTAACTACTTCACTTAGAAAACACAAATATATGAACGAAGAATATTATTTTCAATAATTTCTCATCAGGTTCTACAATTATATATACAAATTAATAATCCAAAAATATGGTCAGGTTTAAGGCAGAGTACACCATTTAAGATTTTAACTTATGAATCAAGGAATGTTTGCAACATGAAATAAGATTGAATCGTAAATTTTGGGATGACTAATATGAAGTGTTGACTTGACTGATATAAATGATCAGAATAAATATGATTAATATGGATTCACTTGGTGCTGTTTACTTGTATCTTCCCATGATTAATATGGGATGAAAGAGATAATGTAATAACAAATCAAAAAGGCGAGACTATATTTTATGGACGACCCTTGAACGAATCTTAAGTGATCTTGAGAAATGTTAGCCAATCAGTAATCAGTCAGCATAGAGTAAAAATATTTTATACAAAACGAAAAAGTTAGAGTGGATACACTTCTTTTATATGGTCAAAAAACTCGTCAATGTTAGAAAAGGGTTCAAAGGTTCCAAAATCGTAATACATAAAGTAGAAGAACTCATCCATATGAATCCATAATAGTTGGTCTCTGGAGCCATGATAAGACCATAAAAACCCTCTCATCCTCGATCACATAGCTTCATTATCACTTGTGTGTACTCCGGTTGTGTGAGTTTACTATTTTTATCATGGATATGTCCCTACAATACTCATACCACTGCACAGCCGAAGTTTCAGTAACATCTGCGATTATTGCAGTCAATGTTACTGGTGCTTTTACTATACAGTTGATGGCAATTATTATAATATGCCTTAGTCTCAATCTGGATTGAGCGAAAAAGGTCCTTATTCTAGCAAACGTCTTCCTCCAACATATGTCACATCGATGGACAACATCACGGTAGTCTGCACAAGGTCTACAAGTCATTTGATTACCTCAATTACAAACAAAGGAATTTCTTGGTAATCTTATTTATTGTAGCCGCCTAATTGTCACGTCTTCTCCTAAATTCTCTGTGAGTCGACCGAGCATGAACATCAGGTACTGAAATTGGCGCCATAACCTTGAAGTCTCTCAAACGCTTCTGATTGGTTCGTCCATAAATTATGGTCTCGCCATCAAGAATCATATAATTTGTAGAAGAATGCCATTTGGGTATGAATTAGTAAACAGAGGCGGATGCTACATAAATTTCTCAAAAACTTCGGCATGTTTTATAATAATGATAAGAAATGTGAATCAGATAACTTTAAGTTATGAAAATGAACAGTAATTAAATTACGTCACCATATCATAAAAATGGTTAATAACTAATTAGGTCAGAAATTGGCCAAGGTAAAAGATGCGGTTGAATATATTTCTTCTGGATTAAAAGCTTCGACATTTTGATCCGCATAGCTATTGTTTTGGCCATATACAAAATTGTTGGTCTGAAGAATTTATGCAGATTGGTATAAATACGATACGTTATTGTGAATGAATGCTCTATGTTGCTGTATGGTACGTTTGTACTACTAAGACAGTTCTCACTTTATATTTAATTTTGATTGTCAAAAACGCTACTAGTTATGATCTGCTTCAACTTCTTTCATAACTTTGCAGCTAACTAACAACTATAATTGGTTACTTACTTACTTACGCTTGTTACCTCTCGTGAGGGAGCATAGACCGCCCACCAGGATTGTTAAGTCTGTTTGCGTTCCCCATCCTTATTCTCATCCCTTTAACTCTTTTGTGTATTGTCTCGTACTACTTATTAATATTTAGTAAACAGTTGTATGCCTAGCGATTTCTAAGCTTAGGTTGTGTTGCAAGCTTATCGTGTAATATACTAAAATATTTACATATATTTAAAACATTGATTATATTTATCATGATGATTACTCTCTTTTCATCCCTGTAAAAAATGTTCTCACGTTTATATAGCCATCTAATCCTTGTTTAAACACAACGGTTTTCACATTGTTTGCCCTTGGTTCTGTTTTTGCATGTTGATAAACACTTATCAAGATTGGACACAGCTATTACATGTCATTTGCACTAACGATTATTGTAATTATTATTTATAATATTACTGCAGAAAGCTCTATTTACTTTGGACTAACAGAAGCGGTAAACAAGACTGTTATCTAACAACTTGATGTTTGTAATAATTTATGAACATTATTCAATAAAGAAGCTACGAATGGAGATCATTTAGGGTTAATGGTGGTCACAAGATGTCGTGAAGGAGCAGGGTTGAAAATGGGGTCAAAGAAACAATCTTGTACAAAAAAAACTTCCTAAAACAAATGTAACTAGAATAGATAATTTAAAATCATTTGAAATCTGCACTACA